AATAGACCACAGCATGAGTATGAGCCGGCAGTGCAAATGAGCCAGCAGATGCTGTAGCCAGTAGGGCAAATAATACTCTGGCATGCATCAATTGATGCATCTCCAGCAAAGCCAAGGAAGCGATGCCAAAAATGCCTCCACCTTTCCCTGTACATTAAAATCATGGGATAAGAAGTGAACTTCAGCCAGGTTTTAGCCAAAAACCTAACTTTGTCAGATGTCACTGTTGATGGGAAAGCTATAAAAAAAATGCTCAACTGTTTTGAGATGTACAGAGTATTTTCTCAGGCGGTATCTGGTTGCTGTCACTTTATGGGTTGCTGGAGCCTGTATGATGTGGAAGGCTGACACTAGCAATCCGGCTTCCAGATCCCATACGTGATGTAGAAAACACAACTCGGATGCATGCTTGGTGGCAAAAGCTCAGAAACATTTGTTGTCAGACAGAACACCAGCTGGTCTGATTAACCGCTAGTCCAATCTGGAGAAGCAGACTGGTAGAGACCCCATATGTTATTCATGCACCCCTAGGTCTTTCTACAAGGAATGCCTCTCAACTCCTGTATACTTGTGCCTTCCTCCCCCACCCCCATCTCATGCCCACTCTTTTCTCTCCCTCTCTGTTGAGATTCATAGACATTAGGGTCAGAAGGGACCTCAGTAGTTCATTGAGTCCGACCCCCTGCCCTGGGCAGGAAAGAGCACTGGGGTCAAAAGACCCCAGCTAGATGCTTGTCCGGTCTCCTCTTGAAGACCCCCAAGGTAGAGGAGAGCACCATCTCCCTTGGAAGCCCATTTCAGATTCTGGCAACCCTTACTGTGAAGTTCTTCCTAATGACCAACCTGAATCTGCTCTCTGTCATTTTGTGGCCATTTTCCCTAGTTACTCCAGGGGGTGCCCTAGTAAATAGCGCATCTCCTAGTCCCTGCTGCCCTCCTCTGATGAATGTATAGGCAGCCACAAGATCACCTCTGAGCCTTCTCTTGCAAAGACTGAAGAGATCTAGGTCCCTCAATCTTTCCTCATAGGGCCCTGCCTGCAGGCCTCTGACCATGAGTGACCCTCCTCTGAGCCTTCTCAAGATTCTCTACATCCCTCTCGAAGTGCGGTGCCCAAAACTGGATGCAGTACTCCAACTGTGGCCTGACCAGTGCCGCATAGAGGGGAAGCATCATTTCCCTGGGCCTATTCATCATGCATCTGCTAATGCATGATAAAGCGCGGTTAGCTTTGTTGATCACTTCATCACACTGACAGCTCACGTTCATCTCGGAGTCAGCTACAACTCCAAGATCCATTTCCACTGCTGTGCTGCTGAGAAGGTCATCCCCCAGCCTGTAAGTATGTTGGTGGTTCTTTTTGCCCAGGTGCAGCACTTCGCACTCATCTTCGTTGAAATGCATCCTATTTCATTCTGCCTGTTTTTCCAACCTGTCCAGATCTGCCTGGATCCATTCCCTACCCTCTGGTGTGTTAACTTTGCCCCATAATCTGGTATCATCTGTGACTTGGACAGGGTGCTCTCTACACCCTTGTGCAAGTCACTGATTAAGACATTGAATAGCACCAGTCCAAAGACTGAGACTTGTGGGACTCCACTGCCCACATCTTTCCAGGTCAATATCGACCTGTCCACCACCACTCTGTGTGCGACCCCTAAGCCAATTTGCCACCCACCTGACCATGCAACCATCTACATCACAGCCTGTCAGTTTATTTATGAGAATGGAATGTGATACCATATCGAAGGCCTTCTTAAAGTCTAGGTAGATGACATCTACCTTGACTTTTACGTCTACCCTTAATTATACACCCTTAATTATTTGGGGGGGGCAGACAGAACTGCAGCTCCCAGCTGTAACCATTTTTGCAAAGTGTTCCGAGTTACATTGTTAGCCCAGACCAAACAGAAGTTCGGTGTTTGTTCCAGGGGGAGGGGAATCTAGCTGTGGGCTGGGAGCCTGCAACCAGGTTCCCATGGCAACAGACTCTCTCTTTCCCTGTCTGTCTGCCAGTGCTCCTTCCAGAAGGAAGGAGGGGAGGCAGCGGAGGGAGCTCATTCTTGGGGCTGCCTACCTGGTGCTGAAGGGTGGGGTGGGTGAACTGGAGCCCCCCACCCCAAGAGAGCTGAAATACACTCACCCCTTTGGGGAGGAGGGGGGCTGAACCCCCCCAGACTGAACTCCGTCTGCTCCCTTTCCCCCTCCCTCCCATTCTGAAAACAGCAACAGGCTGGGAGCTGGGCAGACAAGCCACAGAAAAGATGCTAGTCCGTAACATCTTTATCTGACACCTCATGCAATGAATGACAGGTCAGATTTTCACCCAATGGGCTATTTTTTAAGCTGTTTGCAGCCGTGCCCTTGTGTTTGGTTAGGGCTATAAACTGCTTTCTGTGGCCAGTCTGGTGGAAAATTGTCATTTCTCTTTGTACCCTTTGTTTGCCAAGTTGACACATCTGCTCTTGCATTAGTTAATATCTCACTTGTACAAGTGTAACTGCTGCTGTTGTGCTCTTTTGGGGTCTTTCTGCTTGTTACAGCAGCTTTATGGATTTGTCTCTCTGGCTCAGCCCCTTTCTGCTGCTTTCCAGCACTTTGGCTTAGCAGAGCTACAGCTTAGCACAGGGGTCGTCAACTGGGGGCATGTACCCGTGGGTACCTGAGCAGGCCCTAGGTGGTATGCACAGGCAGCCACTGTGTGAGAGTTTTCCCCACCCCGCAGGGGTGCGTGGCCAGACACAGGGGGAAGGGGGGGATGGGACAGGGGAAGCTTGCAGGCTGCTCTGCATCCAGCCACATGCCACGCCCCCCCACCCCAGCCAGGGGTACGCTGCTTCGTGTCTAGCCACCTGGGGGGGTTGTACAACGATCAAAAAAGGTTGAAAACCCCTGGCCTAACACAACTGGAAGGCCTACAAAGATATTGTCGCTTTTTACGTGACCAAGCCAAAAGGGAAGGAACCTATTGGAGGACGGAGAAAATATTTGGGGGGGAGGGGGGCTGAGCACACATGTTTATGTGTGCATGCACCCCCCCACGAGTTCGTGGGTCTGTCATGGGGAAGGGCGTGGGGGGCAGATCAAAGCCCCTGCAGTGAGGGAGGAAGTGGGGCAGAAGCAAGGCTGAGTGCAGCCCCGCAGCCGGGGCAGGTCATGGGACGCTCGGAGCCCGGCCGCCTCGTCCTGGGGCACGGAGGCACTGGTAGAGGCCTGTGCCCCCAGACGAGCCGCCTGGGCTCCGAGCATCCCACGACCCCACTCCGGGCCCAGCTCCTGTCCCTCTTCCTCCCCCACCGCGGGGGCCTCGATCTGCCCCTTCCCCACGACGGACCCGCCTGGGCACAGCTCCGCACACCATCGGCTGCGCGTCTGTCAGTGCGCGCCCCGCCCGGGCTGCCCCGCGGCCCTGCCCCGCGCTTGGGGGCTGTGAGCCCCGTTAGTCCCGGCCTCCCGCCGCCGCGAGAGGAGGAGGATGGCGACTCTGATCTCCCCGGCCGCGGCCGAGCAGCGCCCTGCGCAGCGCACGCCCCGCTCCTCCCCACCCCTGGGCGCTGCAGTTGGCGCCCCAGGCAGTCGGCCTACCCCAGAGCCACTGCGTACGACCAGCGTGAGGGTAGCGCGCCCCGCCGAGAAACCCGCCCCGCCCTAGCCCCACCCCTTTCCCTCATCCAACATGGTGGGCGGCCCTACCTCTTCTCCGCGCACCGCACCTCGGCTCCCATCCGCTCAGCTCCCGGCCGCTTCACTTCATTGGCGGACGCGCTCTGGAAAAGACACCCACTGCAGCCAGTGAGAGCGGACGCCGAGGCGCCTTTCCTCGGTGCCTATTGGCTCGTCTCTCCTTGCCCCGCCCCTTAGACCTGCTGTACGCACGTGCGGGGCCTCTCCGCGCCGGTAGGGGGTGCTTGCCGCGTGACCAATCAGCGCCCCGCGTTTCGATTTCTGCCCATTTAAAGCCCACCCTCTTTCTTCAGCGCATGCGTTGTTGCTTCGGGCACATGCTTCCCCTTAACTAGCAAGCTGTAGTGAAGCGCATGCGCACTCTTGGTGGTTTGTTGCGGCCGTGTGGATCTAGTCGAGAGGTCTGGGGCGTAGCGGAGCTGGCCCTCGAAAGATTTAATGCTCCTTTTCTCCCCTTCGGGCTTCGCCGTTCAGGAGGCTCCGAGCGGTGACAGGTACCGCGCGGCGGGGGATGGGGATGGGGATGGGGCGGCTGCTGTTTTGTATTCGGGTCAATATGGTATAGGTGTTATATGTATTATGTGTACACACGCACATGCAAGTGCCTTTATAGTCTTGTGTGTATGTATTTGCCGATACATAGGTGTATATATATGTATGCGTGTATTATGTGTGTTTGTATATTCTATGTATACATAGCATATGCTTTAACTCGCTTCATCCAATGCCGAAGGTCTGACCAGCTAGCGGCCAAGCACTGTAACCTCCTGGGACCTTGGAGCAGCAGTCTGTAAAGAGCCGGCTTTAAAAAATGACCTAAATGCTAAATTGCGGAACAAGGAATCATCTTCAGCCTCATTGGCGTGGGCGGGGTGAAGCCGGGTCTCAACAGAGACTACAGATTTTTTTTATGTTGCCTGAACAAGCTTTTGTAGCCCCAGTGGTCCTCAAAGAATGAACTGCCTTGTTGATCCCTATAGACTTATTCAACCTACCTCTCTCATTAGTGCCTCCTCTCTTTATCCTTTATATTCAAATTCCTTTTGATTCAGAAGATTTATTTGCATCTTGTAAACTTAACCAAAGCATATGTGTGGCACAAGCTTTTGTGAGCTGAAGTTCACTTCATTAGATGTTAATATTATTTGCCAATTGCTGTAAAGCTGTATTCAATATTTTTAATCAAATCAATTAAAATAAAGAAAATGTTTGTGCCATAGCATTGCATCCTTGGCAGCTTCTTTGGTAACATCTTGCTCCAGTGGATACTATGCAAACTCTTTTTTTTTTATTTTATTTTTTATTTCTACAGGAGTGGACTACTTTGGTCAAAGGATGAAAAGTACTTGTGCGAGTTCAAGAACAGCATCTCGGAGAGTTTATATTGCAACAATAAAGCACTGCTGATGAGAGAAGATGCATGATGTTTAAAATTACTAGCAGTCACTGGAAGTGTTGTTGTCCGCAACTCTGTAGGAAATATGGCACTTTCCCTGGAGAGAAACATAGTAGATCAGGGTGTGCAGTTATAGGGCAGCAAGTCCATAATGTTGTTCTCCTTCATTAGCCTGGATTTGGTGCCATTAATATTTTAACTAAATTCTGGATGCGTGATACCTGTGTTCAGCTACTCCAAAGGATGGAACAAACTAAAAGTAAGCTTTTAAAAATACAGCATTTTAAAAGACTGCTAGCTCTTTTAAGGGAATTTATCACTTTTTTTTTTAAGAGTGAACACGGTAGGAATGGTAAACTTTCTCTTTGCAACTGGACACCCATCCAGAGCAGTGGTATCTGAGTCGTCTGACCCCGTGGATCCAGAGTTGGATGTAGAGTGTGGAGCCACGTCATCTGCCCTGTGGGCCTTGAATTTGCCAGTGGTCGTGTTAGTACTTAATTGCTGCAACTCCCAGGGTCTTGGCAGCTGCTGCTTCTCCTGCCATCAAATTTCCAGCCCTGGGGAAAGCTTTGCAGGCCAGATAATGCAGCTCTATGCTCTATATCTGGCCTGTGGGGTTCACCGTGGCTTCAGAATTTGGCAGCAGGACAAATATCAGCATTGCAGGAGAGGCAGGTTGAGGGACTAGGGACTTATCATTGGTTTTCTATTTGAAACAAAAAAGCTTTCTATAATCCATATCTAAGGAAGAAGGGATGCTTGTGGTACTGTATAGGTTAGTAAAAAATAATGTGAGAAACAAACCTATTGAATTGGACTGGTCTGAAAAATGTATTATTTTTTTTCTAAAAAATACGCTAGCATGCAGTAATCTTTTTGTTAGTTGAAATAAGATCATGATTATATTTAAAAAAAAAAAAATTAATAAGAACTAACAAATGACCAGTCCAACTGATTAATTTAAATTATTCCAGCTGAGTTATCAATGAGGTGCATGAAACTGAAAAAATTGTTCAGAAGAATAATATTTTATCAGGAAAAAACGTAACTTTCCTTTGGTTGTCCTTTCTTTTTGTGTCCTTCTGTGACATATTAATGGTAAACTTTCTCTTTGAAATTGGACATCCATGTAGAGCAGTGGTATCCAACTCATCTGGCCTCCCAGGGCGCAGAGAGTAGCAGGAGCCCCCCCCGCCAAATCCCATCTCCTGGACAAGCAGCAGTTCCATCCCATACTCCACCCTCACTGGGCAGCGCCTGCCGCAGCCCCGCTGCCTCCCTCACTGTGTGGGGCCTTGATCTGTACCCTGCTTCCACCACAACAGACTTACCAGCTGGCCACAGCTCTTGAAGCTGCCAGGCTGTGCTTTGTGTGTATTCGTCGGCCATTCATCGGCCACATCAGGCTGATTTCTGATACAGTCAACTTTCTTTATATTGGTTCTGATCCAACATCAGGCTGATGTATCAGTGCACTACTAGCTATGACCCCAATATTGTGACCTCTGGACTGTCAACTGTGCCACCTTAGTGCCTGTGTCACCCCATCCTCCTCTTGTGGTGCCCAGATTTAGAAAGGAAAACATTTGAGTCCCTGCTAAAGGCCTTTCCAGTCACTGCTAGACTCTGGTTGGGCTGAAACTCAAGCCCTTCTTCTCTGTGGGTGAGGAGAACTATGCCATTAACTACCAGCACTTGTCTGATAATCAGTCAGAAGCTTTACTGACTACAAAATTATCCATTAAACACAAAGCAATTAATCAACTAGGCTTGCCAGTATACAAGTATTCAACTCTACTGGGAGTGCCAGAAAATAAACAGGCAGTTACAAAAACTGAGCATGTTAATGTTCAGTCTGTCTAGAGCTGTTACTCGGGAGGCACTCCCCTCAGTACTGGGTGAGCTTCCTGGGTTGCACTGCTCCAAATCCAAAAATTTGGTCTTCCTTCAGAAATTTATGCAGTTCTCTCCCTCCGAAATCCATGGAGGCAATTCAGACAGCTGACAGCAAACAGTGAAGCATGATTTCATTTGCTTAAGTTATTTAACCCTGTAGTGATGTCACCATTACCAAAGCTAGCCAAGCTTGTTGTATACTAGCCAATTGCCCGTCAAGAATGACTGGGGGTTAGGGGCTGGGATGGGATGGAGTGCTGCCACCTAATGCCCCATGCTGCTGCTGTTCTGCCCCTTGCAGGGAGTGGGGTGGGGGAGCTGAGGGCAGCACAGCTGGCACCAGCTCCTCCACCCCCTGTCTGGTCTGTGGCATAGCTTCAGAATCATGGTGGTGCTCCCCCACACTTGGAGCACTCTGGCTGTTTGCATTAGCCAATCAGAGTGCAAATAAAGTGTTACAGACGGACAGACTTAGGCTTTTATAATAATAGAATTTTGGCTTATAGATCCTAATTGTACAAGAGCACATCCTTACACATTTGGAATATTTTCCTGTTATTGTCCTGTTCCCACATTAATTAGTCCTAATGGTTACCACGGTATCATCTTAATTTATGGTTCTATGGTTCTGGTGTTCTGGATGTTCCCTGGCATTAATTTTACTGGGGTTAAATTTAGGCCACAATCATTGCCAATTCTTAACTGAATCATCTTGAAAAGGCTTCTGGGAGTTTGGTCAACTTGACATGACCAGATTTGATTTTCCTTGCAACACTCTGCTTCGCTTTGTTCTGATTTAGGCACAGAATTTTGAAGCCAGTGGTGTCTGGACACTTGAAAATCCTGTCAGGTGCCCTTCAAATGATTTTAAGTCTGGCCATTAGGAACTGAATGGCTTTTTTTATAAACAGATATCTGCATTTTAGGTGACTTACAGATGGTTTGGAGGGAGATGGAAGATGAAAGAGTGGACTTTATATTTGAGCAGATGCAAAACCTGTTGCTGTCCCTGAAACAAAAGATCAAAGATGGAAGTGCAACAAGCAAAGGTTTGACATAGTTGTAATTGTTGTGTAGGACTCAAATCAAATTTTGAACCACCTTGTCTGCTGCTCTTTGATACCTTGACAGATTGATGTATTTCTAGGTTTAAAATTGTGTACATTATTGTGCCCACTATTGTAAAAGCTTTCTCAATAAATTGGGGAGCACACAGCCAAAATCCAGCCCTGAACCAAGGAGGCATGATCAGGAAAAAAATTATTTTCTTCCTCCAAAAAGTGGTTGGTTTTGGGCTTGAATGTAATTAATGCCCCCTTAATTTAACAAGTTCAATATAGTTATGCAACTTTTTTACTTGCTTTTGCTTTAGTTTCAGTGCAGTGTATAATTTTGGCAATAGCCAGCCTTCATTCCTAAGAAAGTTGTGTATGCGGATGCAAAAGAAAATTAATTTATTACTTATTAGCTTTATATGCTGCCCCTCTGGAAAAAGGCTCAAGGTTGCTTACAATAAAAAACAAAACAACTTATAAAAGTAGATACAGTTCCATAAACAATAACTTTATTTGTAAGTACATACATATATTATCTGTCCAGTATACGTGGGAGGCACTTACATAAACAAACTGACATTTCTTGGACTGCAGCTAAGTATTTAATTTTTCCTCTTTATTTCTACTATGTTTGAGAGAGCCCTGCTGTCCACAAACTGACCCATAACTTAAAACATCTTTATCACTTCTGTTGGTCCAGTTGCCAAAACTTACCATGCCACTGGGCTCTAGAACAGTCAAATAAATAGTTTTTTACACACTTTACTAAGCTTTCTTAAGATCTTGAGGCCAGGTGCAGGCATTACATTTTTACTGGTGTAAGTGATCAGAAACCAGTCTTTCTCCGTAACAGAACAGAAGTTTGGTGCACACAGATTAGTTTAAAAATGGCGGAACCCGGTCTTAAGATTTGCTTCACCATCAAAGGGCAAATGTGTGTTCTGTTTGCTGCTGATCTACAGAAAACTGCACAACTTAGATTGATTCTGCCTTGGGATTTTTGAATGTCTGTACC